ATGACATCTGGATTGTAGCGACATGAGCCTCGATTTCTTCACCAAATTCTTTAGGCTCGGTGCTCGCTACAGGACTTCGGGACAAGGAGTCTGCGACAGTCATGTTTTTCCCTTGGGTGTATACTGCCTTTCCGCTGTAGCGCATCATCCTCATCAGCATTCGTTGGCAGCGGACAGGTGCATCATACAGTTCTTTAGAGTTGATCAGAGGCACAATGGGCTTGTGATCGGTGAGCAGTGTGAATGACGGCAGCCCGATGAGGTAGCGATCGAACTTTTCGCACGCCCAGGTGGCCGCCAACAGTTCCTTTTCAATTTGAGCGTAGTTCTTCTCGGCCCTAGATATAGTTCTGGAACAGTAGGCCACAGGCTGAAGGTCACCCCTGTCCTCCTGGAGGAGAACTCCTCCCAGTCCGTAGCTGCTTGCATCGGCGCTTACAGTGACAGGCTTCCTCATGTCGAAGAAGGTGAGTGTTGGAGCTGACGACAGCAACTTCTTGACTTCAGTGAAGGCAGATGACTGCGCTGGAGTCCAGACCCACTCAGAATCGTGATTCAGAAGATCGGTGAGCGGCTTCATGACTGTTGACAGATTTGGCACAAACCTGCCCAAATAGTTCACCATGCCGAGCACTCGTCGTAAGTCTGTAATGTTGTCTGGCTCTGGCATCTCAGTGATGGCGCTGACCTTGGATGGATCTGGCCTTACGCCCTTCCCGCTGATGATGTGGCCAAGAAAATCGATTTCTTCCTTGTCAAACTTGCACTTGGATTTGTTCAACTTGACCCCCACGCTCCTTTAACCGCTGGAAGACTTTCTTCTTCAGCTTATCATGTTGCTCCTTACCATCCGTGTGCAGGAGGATATCGTCCATAAAGCACTCAACACCGTCTATGCTCGCTAGAATGTCTTGCATCGTGCGCTGAAATATCTCAGGCCCAGAGGTGATTCCAAAGCAGAGACGTCTGTAGAAGTACCGACCGAACGGTGTAATGAAAGCGGTCAGCTTCGCGGAGTCGTCGTCCAGTGCCAACTGCCAAAAGGATGAAGTTGCATCAAGCTTGCTGAACTTGTTTGATCCGCTGAGTTTGTACAAGATGTCGTCTATGGTGGGCAGCATGAATCGTTCACGCTTCACCGATAGGTTGAGCTTTTTCAGATCTGTGCAGATTCTAACGCTACCAGACCTAATTCTGACCGGGACCATCGGCGCGCACCAGTCAGTTGGAGCGCTGATCTTCTCAATGACACCTGCGGCCTCCATGCGGTCTAGTTCAGCCTTGACTTCGTCCATGAGTGGAATGGGAATCCGACGTGCGACGTTAACGGAGTATGGCTGTGCATCTTCTTTCAAGATGATTTTCACTGGCTCGCAGTGTATAGGTTTAGGTCCCACATCGCCGAACACGAGATGGTAGAGTCTATTCTGTCTCTAGAGATCAGTCCCAGACGAACTGCGGCGTCGCGACTGAGAAGACAGTCGGTGTCGTCGTCAAGGACGAAAACACGGAACGCAAAGTTGGGATTGTTATGCTGCGTAGTTGCGATAAATTCTCCCACGCTCCTTATGACTCCACCAGGACTGCGAAGAACTGCAGACGTTGTTTTCAGCTTTGGACGAGGACTGAGACGGTTGTAGACAGCCTTCGACATGATCGAAACATCGGCCCCTGTGTCTATCTTTAAGGATGTAGCTCTCCCTCCAAGGTTCAGTGTAACGCGCCATGGTGGCTCGCTAACTTCGCGATAGTTTACATCGTTAACGACATTACTGTCCGAGTCTTTGTCAACAGCACCCAAAAAGAACGAAGGAGTTTCCGATTCAGTGATTTCGTTGACATTGCGGCTGCTGCTGCGACAGACTGTTGCGAAATGATTGCGCTTGCCGCATTTTCTGCAAGTTTTCCTACGCGCTGGGCAATTGTTTTGGGCATGACATCTTCCACAGTTGCTGCAGTTAGAGAAAGTTGACGGTGATGCATGGCTGCCTCTGTGTTGTGAGTGTGTACCTGTTCTTCGGCCGCCTCTAGCCTTGGGGTGAGCAGGCGACGAATATCCCCTCTGGCCGTAGCGCACTGAATCTACTGTAACTGCTGCACCTAGCTGACGTTGGCTACTGACCTGACCTTTTACGAGCTCGAAATGGCGTGCTGTTTCGATGGCTGGTTTCAAAGTAAGAGTTGCCTCGAGTTGTAAGCGCTGTGACAGTTCATTGTCCAGTACTTCTGGGACGAGTCTATCCCTTATGGTTTCATCTCGGTCCTTAAAGTCTGTATGTTCTGAAAGCTCGTACAGGGCTCTAACATATTCTTCTATCGTCTCCCCACTGTTTTGTGCTCGTGCATGAAACTTTGCTCTTTCGTGGATAAGATTCCGCTTGGGGACAAAGTGAGCGTCGAAATTCTCTAAGACAGTGTCAAAGTTGTCCCTAGGATCGTTACCTTCGACGGGAGCAGGGAACGTGAACGTGTTAAATATCTGTTCAGCTTGGCGTCCCACAGCGTAAATTAATGGACTTACTTGAATTGCTCTGGTTTCTGCGCTCAGTTTGGTGGCTGTGCGGTATCGTAGCATACGCTGTCGCCACTCGGGCCACTCGTGAGGTTTGGAAAAATCAAACGGTTCAGGAGGCTTGAAATGAGGCATTCTGACACTTGTGACACGTTATCCACTGACTTCTGACACCATGTAATGTTAGTATACACACACGACTGTAAACTGGAGAGATGAACACACACGACAGCAAGCATTCTAATAATGAGCCCGGGTGTACAGAGGTGGGGCTAGAGATATAAATGACAAGACAATGGACCAATCGCACATCGCTGGGAGCACTCCGGTGGATTGCTCCAAAGCTATCATAATACGGGCATTGAATCGTGTAGGCTGACGTGAACTGGTTTGAGATTGCGTTATTTTTAGACTGCCTCTATGGGCTTTGTTCGGCTGGTGCACATCGAGATTGTGCCGCCTTATTAATATTTATGAACTAAGAAACTCGCTCAAAACGTCATCGTTGTTTGGGTCGTCCCATAGAGCATTTTCTGAGATAGATTACACCTCTAAACATACTATTTTTTACTTGGGTGAAGCAAAAGAACTTGGTATGGTACTCGTATATTAGATGTTGTAGAGCTGTTGTAGATGTTGTAAGGAGCGAATAGGCTCTGGCGAGGAACTTGTACGTAAAACTGATTATATGATGGATGGTAAAGGTTCTTTTGTTGTCACTTTGAGAGTGTTGTGCGCTAAAATTTTTGGGCGGCAGTGCACGACCGTGCTCTATGGACCAGCCGCCCCTGGCTGTTGTAGTTGCTACTCTTGCTGGGTTAGTGCTGGTTATTCTTGATCTTTCATGTTCTTTACAATAGTTCTATAGCCGTAGTTGTTATGTTGATGGTCTATTTCTCATCGCTCTTGGTGTCACAGACATAACTTTCCCCTCTGTGGGAGGAACAAAAGATCGAAAGTAGACTATTGACTCCCTTATATTATAATGCCCACGTTGGGTCCCCGAAAACCTTTGGGTCTTGCCAGAAGAGACGAAGTTATTTTAACAAAATTACGTATTGCACATGGGCTACCTCCATGACGCATAAATACCTCTTGCAGGGAGATGAAAAAATATTTTGTATCGGATGCAAGACCTTACGATCAAGCACATCATACCTAAAATAATATCTTGGGTTTGTAGAGACCCAAAGGAAATATTTTGAGAGCATTGATTTAAAGAATGCTTTCTCCATCTCTGTTTTAAACAGAATTTTATATTATTTTGTTGAAAAGGTAATTTGTTTTTATTTTGAAATATAAATGATATTATTCTGAAACACTTGCATTGCTGCTCATAAAAATGGTTTTTTATTAAGCATTTTTAGATACTTCAACCATTATTAATTGCTAAGTAAAATCAAGCCGTGATGTGAACCAACGTAAAAATCACCCACGCGTCATCTGCGCCCTCATAATATGACCTTACGCAGTTGTGAACGCCGTAAAATTTTACCAAACTAACCAAACTGAAGAGACTTAACTGGCAAACCATGATCGCCGATATGTACATTTCAGATTTGGCAATTGAATGAGAAAAACAAAACAATACACGATCGTTGTAAAACATGTCAAGTGCATGAATTTGTGATTAATAAGAATTCATTTTCGACAGATTACGGACTCGAAAGGATAGACCTGAATCTTCTCGAGAGAGGGCCATATTTTGTGTCACAGCCTCATAGCACCGTCATTGTAGGGGATCCCCCCAGCATAGAAGTGGAATGTGTGGCTTCGGGAAACCCCGAACCTATTTATAGCTGGATGAAAGGCAAGGACTTTGACGTGAAGTTGACCCCTGAACTCGATCCAAGGTACACGATCACGAATGGGAAGCTAAGAATTGAGGTATGTTGCTGCTGCTGCAGCTGCTGTTGTTGTTGTAGTTGTAGTAGTAGTAGTAGTTGTTGTTGATGTTATTGTTGCTGCTGCTGTTGCTGGCTGTTGTTGCTCATGTTGCTGTTGTTGTTGTTTATGTTGTTTATGTTGTTTATGTTGTTTTTGTTGTTTATGTTGTTGTTGTTGTTGTTGTTTTTGTTAATGTTCTTCTTCTTATTGTTCTTGATGGTTTGTGCTCTTGTTGCTGCTGTTGCTTGTGACAGAAAAATGTCACAGAGGAAATATAGTTTCTCGTTTTGCATGTAATAATTGAAGTTGATGGCCTTGTTGTTGCTACTGGACACGTTTAGAGGATTACTGGTGCTGGAGTTTTCTGGAAACGAGGGTGGAAAGGGGGGGGGGGGGTGGCGGTTCTCAATCGTTGCTATAGGAATTACTGCTTCTTCTACTTTTGTTGGTTTGCTTTTCATTTTCCAAAGGGACATGAGTGTTGTTGTTGCTGCGGCTGTGGTTGTTGGTACTGTTATTGTTGAAGAATAAGAAGAAGAAGAAGAAGAAAAAGAAGAAGAAGAAGAAGAAGAAGAAGAAGAAGAAGAAGAAGAAGAAGAAGAAGAAGCAGAAGAAGAAGAAGAAGAAGAAGAAGAAGAAGAAGAAGAAGAAGAAGAAGAAGAAGATGAAGATGAAGATGAAGATGAAGATGAAGAGGAGGAGGAGGAGGAGGAGATGGAGGAGGAGGAGGAGGAGGAGAAGAAGGAGGAGAAGGAGGAGGAGGAGGAGGAGGAGGAGGAGGCGGGGGGCAGCAGCAACAATAACAGCAAAACAACGAAAACTTGCTGATGACGATGTTGTAATTGCTGTTATTCTTTTTATTGTTGCTATAGTTGTTGTAAAGGGGGCTCTATGTGAGGTAGTACCTTTGATGTTTGGCATGCTGCACTCTACCTGGTAGAGCGAACGGGCATCACTGGTCCTCGCACATCCTCTAAATCTCTCATATGTGGCTCCACAGCGCCATACCCCGGTACACCGCTTCAGCTGGCGGACTAAACCATGTGAGGGGGTGGTGTTTACACTTAACCACTGGGCAGATGAGCAGCATCAAACAGCCAACGGCCATGAGCGGAAGGGTCCCATGACGGACCCAACGGTCAGAGCGGAAGGGTTCCAAGCTGAGCTCAACGGTCAAGTGTATACGATCATGAAAGGACATGATAAGCGCTCTGACTGTCATCTGCAACAAGATCTGGCAGACAGGAAAGTGGCCAACACCATGGACACAATCACTAGTGATTACACTCCCCAAGAAAGGTAACCTGCAACTATGTCAGAACTACCGGACCATCAGTCTAATAAGCCAACCCAGTAAGGTTATATGGAAGATAATGCTGAACAGATTGAAACCACAGGCAGAGAAGATCATTGCCGAAGAGCAGGCAGGCTTTAGAGCAGGGCGCAGAACAACAGAACAGATCTTCAACCTCAGAATACTGTGCGAGAGGTACCTCCAACACCAACAAAACCTATACCATATCTTTGTGGATTTTAAAAAGGCCTTCGACAGGGTCTGGCATGCAGCCTTATGGGCAACTATGAGGAAATATAACATCAACGCCAACCTGATCAACGCCATACAACAACTATATGACAAGGCCTCCAGTGCAGTGTACCTTAACGGCAGCATGGGGGATCAGTTGAGGACAACGGTTGGGGTGAGGCAAGGCTGTTTACTCTCTCCCACTCTCTTCAACATCTTCCTAGAACGAATCATGACTGACACTCTGGAAGACCACAATGGAACAATCAGTATTGGAGGCAGGACAATCACTAACTTGCGTTTTGCCGATGACATCGATGGATTAGAAGGAGAAGAACAGGAGCTCGCCGCACTAGTGGAGCAGCTGGACACAACCTCAGCAGCTTACGGCATGGGGATCAGTGCCGAGAAAACCAAGCTAATGACCAATAACACCAATGGCATCAATGCGGACATCAAAGTCAGGGGCCAGAAACTTGAGACCGTCAACAGCTTCAAATACCTCGGATATATCGTCTCAGATGAAGGCTCAAGACCAGAAATTCTCTCTAGAATCGCGCAAACAGCTGCGCTGTCAAAACTGAAGCCTATTTGGAGGAACAGAAACATCACGCACAGCTAAAAAAATTAGACTAATGCGCTCACTGGTCATCTCAATATTTTTATACGCCTGCGAGTCATGGACACTAACAGCAGAATTGGAGAAAAAGATTCAGACCACAGAGATGAGATGTTACCGCAGACTGCTTGACACCTCGTACAAAGACCACGTTTCAAATGCTGAAGTACGAAAGAGAATCACCAACGCAGTGGGCCAATATGAAGATCTACAAACCACAGTGAAGAGACGAAAACTAAAATGGTATGGGCATGTCACAAGATCCACAGGACTTGCCAAAACAATCCTGCAAGAAACCGTACACGGAAAGAGAAAGAGGGGAAGGCAGAGAAGGAGATGGGAGGACATTACATACAGAGTGGACAGGAAAGACGATAGGTGGCAATCTGAGGAGAGCAGAGGACAAAAATAGATGGCGAGAGCTGGTTTTCCAATGCAGTGGTGCCTCAACGGTTGTCCCAACCACGGGATAGAAGAAGAAGAAGAAGATAGTTGTTGTTGCTGCTGTTTCTGTTGTTGCTGTTGTTCTTATTGTGGTTGTTATTGTTGTTGACAGTAGTGAGTTGTGATGGCACGAACAGACAGTTTTATTTATGTGCTCCTACTATTTTGTGTTGTTGTTGTTGTGGTTGTTGTTGTTGTTGTTGTTGTTGTTGTTGTTGTTGTTGTTGTTGTTGTTGTGTGTGTGTGTGGTAGCCTATCCGTTCGAAATGTTCGGAGCCCCGAAGAGCGTGCTCTTCGCCAGGGCCACCGCCTCTCTTGGGTAGCGGGTGAGGCAGTCCATCCTCCTTGAATACTCCCCAAAGAGATGTTGTTTTTGTTATTGTTGTTGTTGATGCTTTTTTATTGCTGAATCAGTTGTGTATTTTTCTATCAAATGTCCCTCCCCAGAATCCGGTGATACAGAAAGACAGCGGCCTGTATAGGTGTCGGGTGGAGAACAAGTTTGGGGTCATCGTGGGTCATGTGATAAGACTGACCTTTGGAGGTGAGAGTTTTTGTTACTTTTTACTGGCTCCGGAGGGTTTTTGATGTCGTCATTGTTCAGGCCACACGGAACCAGTGGTTGTTACTCTGTCTGTCTGTCTGTCTGTCTGTCTGTCTGTCTGTCTGTCTGTCTGTCTGTCTGTGTGTCTGTGTGTCTGTCTGTCTGTCTGTCTGTCTGTCTGTCTATCTATCTATCTATCTATCTATCTATCTATCTATCTATCTATCTATCTATTTATCTATCTATCTATCTATCTATCTATCTATCTATTAGCTCGTGGCACTGTCTGTAACTGGAACCTCCACCCTGTTTCCCGTTTTCCCTTCAAACACCGCCAATAGCCTGACCGAAAACCATTGAAAAGAAAGACATTAACGCAACTACTACCACTACCATCACCACTGCCGCCACCTTCACAACAACAACAACTACCACCCCACCCCCACCACCACCATCATTTCTCCACCCCTCCTAGCCACACACACACACACAATGCAAACAAATACACGCACATACATAAGGCATGTGAAACACTTGTGGATATGGTCACCTTCCACTGCATGTATAAACATTTCCTTGTACATAATTATGTGAAAGAGCCGAACTATAATATATAACAATAAATATATGCTTTGTCGATAAAAGTGGCATGGTTTAGAGTATATTATAGGCCTACTTGGTTTTCACTTGTGCAAATATTTCACCCTTCTGCTCTTTGGGCCAATTAAGTCGACGATTCTTTCGATGTACTTTTCAATTTGACAATATGTGAGGCAGCGTGGTGGAATCAGGCTCTCGTCAATTTTTGGGCATGTAGATTTATTGGTTTCATCCTAACGCTTGTTCACTTGTCTTTATTTTGATGAAAATTTATATTATCCATTTATCTTGAATACGAGTCGAGATATTTGCGAAAGAAGTAGGTGGGGGTCACTTGTTTTCAGAAGTAAAATTAGTGAGAAAATGGCCGCCAAAGAATTGTTATTTCCTTAACTTAAGAGTCCGTGGTAACTGAAAATTTACATTTTTTGTGCTCTTAATCAACGTTTTTCAGAAAAATCCACCCTGAAATTAGTTTTTTTAATGGGCACGAAAGGCGTTGAGCCAAAAAACAAAATTTTGATAAAAATTCACAAAACTGTGGAAAAATGCAAGTTTCTTCACTTTGATTATTTTGACGAGAGCCTGATTCCACCACCCTGCCTCACATATTATATTTCTTCATGGATAGGCGGAATCGCTAACACATTCAAACAATCTTGACCCATTTACGTGCGTGTTTCATTTATTTTTGGCTAAGTGTTTTACGGCGCTCGCAACTGCATACGATCGTATGAACGCGCGAGACACACTAAATATTTTCAGTCTGTAAGAAATTTAAAATGTAAACCTTAGTGGTGGCCGAAGCCTACTTTTATCGGTTTTGGACTTACAAGGGATCTTTAATGTGCGCAGATTGCACAAGAGACCTCCGAGATTTTTTGCCCTTATCCGAGATGGCTGGGTGTTAGATCTTACCTACCATAAAATCAGGGGTGTGGCCAAAAGACAGCAAAGGAGTAGCAGTAGGAAGGCTGCTGAAAGAGTCAGGAGCCTAGAGATAGTTGTTTCTACTTGAACTGATTGGGAAAGAGGCAAAGACACACACACACACACACACACACACACACACACACACACACACACACATAGTGAGGGAGAGAGAGAGAGAGAGAGAGTGTGTGTGTGTGTGTGTGAGAGAGAGAGAGAGAGAGAGAGAGAGAGAGAGAGAGAGAGAGAGAGAGAGAGAGAGAGAGAGAGAGAGAGTGTGTGTGTTTGTGTGTTGAGAGCGAGACACACAGACAGATAGACTGACAGGGGTGGGAGAGGCGGGAGTGTGGGTGAAAAGGAGGGGGGGGGGGAGGAAGCTCTGTTGTTCGTCCTTAAATTATCGTCATCGTGTGTAGAAATGTCTGTTGTGAGGTTAAAGATTTCACGTGTTTTGCTGTTGTCACCAAGGCGTGTCAAAACAAGAGACAAGCTAAAAAAACAACAATTAGTTTCCTGAGCGAGGCTTCTCCGAGCAGTCGAGACCCATAATAAACTAGTCAACAAAAGTTAGGGAACGCACTGTAAAAACAGTGATATATTTGCATGCATTCTTTCGAGGTTTTATTTTTACTAGTTAAGCTAGATATTGGTGAAATGTTACTCTCTGACTAATGGGCTTGTACACACCAGGGTTTGAAATGCACGTGACTCCTGTGCACTGAGCTGGGCAGGGGGCAAACGATTTTTATTCTCTCGCTCTTACAGTCAAGAAAAATGATGAACGCTCTAAAAATCAGTTTTCAGTAGCAAGATTCATGTCTCTTGAGTGAGTTGCACACACTCATTTGCACTGTGGATACACCATTCTGCTGCTGTAGGGCTAAGCGTAAACATGCCTCCTCGACAGAAATTGTCTGAGGTAAATAAAGGACAAGCCATTGCTTGGGTACAAGATGGTGTTTCACTCCGACAAGTTGCTACACGTCTTCGAGTGTCCGTTTCTGTCATTTCACGGCTGATTCAGCGTGTCAACGCCACTGGCAGTGCCCAAGAGCGACCCAGATCAGGTCGACCTAGAGCCACTAATGCAAGGGAAGACCGATTCATTCATAGACAGGCTCTGCAGTCGAGATCCGCTCCTGCAAATCGCATCCGGACACGGCTGAGAGCGGCAACTCGTGTTAACATTAGCTGTCAGACAGTACGAAGACGTCTTCATGCGTTTGGACTTAATGCACGTCGACCAGCAGTCCGCCAGCGTCTCACCCCAGCACACAGGGCTGCTCGTCTTGCCTTTTGCCGACGCCATGTAAGATGGACACGTCAACAGTCGGCAAACGTTCTCATCAGCGACGAGTCCCGGTTCTCTTTGCATCACAATGACGGTCGTATCAGGGTTTGGAGGCGACCCGGAGAGCGGCTCCTCGATGCAGCCGTCAGAGAAGTGGTGCCGTATGGTGGTGGTTCCGTGATGGTATGGGATGTATTCAGTCTGAACCACAGAACACCTCTGTACCATGTGCAAGGGAATCTCACTGCAATACGTTACCGATATGAGATACTCCGCCCATTAGCACTACCTACTCTGCAGCAGATGGGGCCACACGCGGTGTACCAGGATGACAACACCCGACCTCATAGAGCGTTTCTTGTCCAAAACTTCATGCAGCAGGCTGGCATCAACCGAATGGACTGGCCGTCCTGCAGTCCGGACTTGAATCCCATCTGGGATGAGCTGCAACTTCGAGTCAGAGACAATTACCCCCCTCCAGGAGACGCGCAGCAACTGTTTCAGATGCTGCAGGCAGAGTGGCAGGGAATGCCTCAGAGAGTGTTCACCAACCTCATGAACTCGATGAGGAGCCGGTGTACTGAGTGCCAGGACAATCGTGGTGGGCATACTCATTATTGAAATCATCGGAACTGTTTTGTTTTTGTTGTAGTCAGAAGTTAACATAACTTCGAAACCACTTGACAATTTTGTGATTTGGGATTTTAACCCCTACCAAACTCAATGAACTTTTCAAGCAAGTTAAAATGGTATAACTTAATTTTCTTTTTTTGTTATTTGTTATACACATGTTTATTAAAATGTGTACCAGATTTCATTTCGTGTTGAAGTTTACTTTCGAAGTTATACACTTTTTCCCAAATGTTCCTTAACTTTTGTTGACCAGTTTATATAGAGGGACAACACACTGAGAGTGATTTGAAATCACCGAGGAGGTTGTGTGTTAATGTTTCAGTTTTGAGCTTCATTTTGAGCGTCTTTGCTCTTTCTGTCCAGAGCTGTGGAGGAGTTTGTCACTCGGAAAAGGAAAGTTCGTGTTATGGATGACAGCTGTCGGTTCTGATAAGACAAAGACTCTTGACAAACAACAGTATGGAGATGCTTCACAATGGGATGTATGATGGCAAACTCAAGCCTGTTCAGCGCACTGAGAAATATGTAAAGTTGGTATCGATTGCTTAAAAAGATGGATAATAATCATGCCTCTACACGTAAGCTGTTCTCTATTTCAGAGTTTAAAAATTTATAATTGGGTAAACAATACGAGGTAAAATTGTTCGCTGTTCCAGTGTTAAAAATCTACAGTTTTGTAAACAATAGAGATGAAATTGCTTACTTGCTATTCCAGTGATAGAAAATCTATGGTTTGGTAAACAATAGGCCTAGAGGTAAAATTGTTCGCTATTCCAGTGTTAGAAAATCTATAGATTGGTAAATCATAAAGGTGAGATTTCTCACTATTCCAGTGTCCTGTTTCGAGTCAGTCACGCAAAGTCCCACGCTTTCATTCTGACCAGTGTATTTTTACATTAACGATCTTCCAAGGGTACTTAAAACGACGGCTGAAATGTTCGCTTATGACATAAAGCGCTACGTTAGAAGTGACACTGTGAATGGGCCGCAAGATTTACAGGAAGATTTGGACATCCTCCAAGAATGGTCTCAACGATGGTTACTTCGTTTCGATCCACAAAACGAATGCTTAATGGACCAAGCAGTGGACGGTAGCACCTCAAGACGCAAACTGAATGACAATGTAACAAACAGAGAGAGAAAGACTTAGGAGTTGTGTTCGATGATAAACCAACCTTCAAGGACAACACATAACATCTAAAGCGAACCGTATTGTTCTACTTATTAGACGATCATTTGACGACCTCTCTGAGGATATATTTGTTTTGCTCTACAAGAGTTTAGTGAGGCCTTTATTAGAGGCAACCATTTGAAAAAGGACTATGAGAGAAAGTTCAAAGGCGGGATACCAAAATGCCGAGTCACCTCAAAGAAAAGCCTTATTCTGAGAGACTGAAGAAATTAAAGCTTCCATCCCTGGAACATTGTAGGTTACGTGGTGATATGATTGAAACGTACAAGTATATCAAAGGCTACTACATTACTGAAAGACCAGCTTTTACAAAGGAAACAACCACACAACTCCGTGGCAACCCAGAGAAGCTCC